TGGTTTGGACATGTCCAGAGGAGGGACAGTGGTTTGGACATGTCCAGAGGAGGGACAGTGGTTTGGACATGTCCAGAGGAGAGACAGTGGTTTGGACATGTCCAGAGGAGGGACAGTGGTTTGGACATGTCTAGAGGAGTGACAGTGGTTTGGACATGTCTAGAGGAGAGACAGTGGTTTGGACATGTCCAGAGGAGGGACAGTGGTTTGGACATATCCAGAGGAGGGACAGTGGTTTGGACATGTCTAGAGGAGCGACAGTGGTTTGGACATGTCCAGAGGAGGGACAGTGGTTTGGACATGTCTAAAGGAGCGACAGTGGTTTGGACATGTCTAGAGGAGCGACAGTGGTTTGGACATGTCCAGAGGAGAGACAGTGGTTTGGACATATCCAGAGGAGGGACAGTGGTTTGGACATGTCTAGAGGAGGGACAGTGGTTTGGACATGTCTAGAGGAGCGACAGTGGTTTGGACATGTCCAGAGGAGAGACAGTGGTTTGGATATATCCAGAGGAGGGACAGTGGTTTGGACATGTCTAGAGGAGTGACAGTGGTTTGAACATGTTCAGAGGAGGGACAGTGGTTTGGACATGTCTAGAGGAGCGACAGTGGTTTGGACATGTTCAGAGGAGGGACAGTGGTTTGGACATGTTCAGAGGAGGGACAGTGGGTATATTGGTAGAAGGATGATAGAAATGCAGCTGCCAGGAAAAAGACAAAGAGGAGATATATGGATGCAGTTAGAGAGGACATGGAGGTAGTTGGAGTCAGGACAGAGGATGCAGAGGACAGAGATAGAGGAGGATGACTCGCTGTGGTGACCCCTGAAGAGGGAAAAGCTGAAAGAAGAAGAAGAAGAAGCTATCACCCTCCTTGCACTAACTGATCTGGAACAGTACCATGAGATTGTACACATTTCAAGGTTCAGCTCTGGCCCATCTCATTGTAAGAAGATCCAAGTTTACAAAAGTGCTAGTCCTATCATTTGTTTCTCTGTTCTCACCTCTGACTCGTAGGAACCAGTCCACCTTAACGTCTTGATATGTGCAGTAGTAAACTCCTGAGCTGCTCACGTTCTTCAGAAGGATTGTCAGGCTTATTTCCTCCAGAGCGAGAGCCTTATGGTGAATGGTTCTGTTGAAAATCTTCTTATTCAGCGTGTTGAAGCAATTAAATACACCTCCAGTATGATTTGCTGGGATGGTCATTTTACACTTTACATCAAGATTTTCCCCAGAGACAGCCACAAACACTGTGCTGTCCAGTTCTAGTGCTTTAGAAAACAGAGACATCAGAAAAAAGCTGATATATTGTTTGAACAATGATAATAAGAAGAAGCAGTTTTCCTTATGCCAAATTGACTAATGGTAAACGATAAACAATCTCTATTTAAAAAAAACATTTATGTTTTAAGGAGAACAAAGCTTACTTGGTGTGTTCTTGGCGCAACACATAGAAGGGAGGAAAAGCACACAAATCCAAGAAGACACGATGAACAGATGACATGAATGTTGATCTTTCATGATGAGATTGGACAGTTTTTCTGTTCTTCTTCGAGGTTTCTCTCGGCGTGTCTCCGTCTTCAGCTGCAGTGGATTTCCTGGTAGTTAAACTAACACTTCCTCAAAATATTGTTTTTTAAGGAAGCTGACTCAATGATACACAAAGGGCACCAGATACATTTTTATCCCATCTCTACATCTTTGACAGTTAACAGTAAACTCAACCTTGGAGGAAAATAGGAGTGAGGAGGTAAAGGCTAGTCTGAAATCATGGCCAACGTGCTCTGCTGTCATAAAACAGCTTTGATCTCAGTATTTCATGTAAATATTATTTCATCGAGCCTTAGCTTGCCACAAATTTTGCATTACATGAATATTTACAGATGATTCAATGGTTGTTTGCAACTGCAAGTAGCAGCAGCAGCAGCTAGCTGTAGCATTTCAGAAAAGTCAGGTAGAAATAGCGTTACAGTACATTACTGCTGAAATAACCATGTAAGGCAAAGATATTGTCAAAGTAAAAGGTTTAAATACTAGCTCTAACTTTTAAATGTGTTGTTTTGAGTGGACAGCTGCCGAACAGATGGCTGTTGCTTTAAAACAACTCTAATCTTTAAAAAGTTCAAAGCGTTTCGTGCAAATGTTAATATTTAACAGATTGCTGTAAATTGCACTTCTCTGTAATTGTAACGCGAGTGTTTGCTGTGTGGTAATTAGATCAACCCCGACACAAAATGGGCATGTTGTCAATGGATAACTTTATTACACTTCAGCAACTCCACAGCACTTCCTGGTCTTAACATCACATGTCCCCAATCCAACCAATCAGAAGCCAGAAAGGTAAGTCAAGTAAAAGTCAACGGCAGATTCAGTTGCTTCTTTTCAAAACATGTGACTGTGCTGTTAAATTTTAAACAATACATAAATAATAATTCTTACCATAAATCTAAATATTAAGCCCAGCAATTTCATTTTATACTAAATAACCAAAATGTATGAATTAACGTCTTTGTAATCCTTACATTATTTTGACAGATCTTTGTTGAAATTGTCCTGTTCAAAGCGCTTCAGGCTGCATTCAAAGAGCTACAGCTAGCTGCTGCTGCTGTTATTTGCACTTGCAAACAACCACAGAACTCTGTAAATAACTGAGTCCTGGTGATGTAAAGTTTTTTGGAGTAGTGCTCAAAATATCTGTAAATCTTTTGAGATTAGAGCTGTTTAAGACAACACCAATCTGCTTTAGTGAGCATTCAGACTAGCCATTAGCTTATCTTATTTAAAGAGCTATGTATAACAGGTAAGATATTGTTTATTATCTTTCTAAAACGCCCTACTTGCTATGACCATTCATGTTCCTCAGCAGAAAGTGTGACCACCTTATTTAACTGTTTAAAAATGATATTTTAAAATTTTTATTTTCCATGAAAAAAAAATTGTTAGTCTGTAAAAGACATCTCAGCCTGAAATTAAAATCAATCCATCCATCCATCCATCCATCCATCCATCCATCCATCCATCCATCCATCCATCCATCCATCCATCCATCCATCCATCCATCCAT